GTTTTTTTTTCTCTTACATCTGTGTCCACATGCATCTGCAGGTTTTAGTTTTTTTGGAAAGGGTAGATTTTAGGTATAAAATATATATTTGCATATACTGAGCAATTGTGGCCATGATAGCAAGTAATCATTGATTACTGTAAAAGTCTAATAGTTCACTGAAGTTCTTTACAGAAAAACTGCTGTCTTTAACTTGTCTGGCCTATAAATGACTCACAGCAGTGTGTTTGGCTCTTAAATGGTCTAAAACATCATTCAGTTCAAAGGCAATTAGAGATGGACAACAAATTCTGACCTTGTCAGTAGTGACCACATCCCATGAAATAAGAAGATCCATATGTTGTAAATAATCTTTGTATTTATCTTTAAGTTTGCTTCTGTAATAAATGAGTCATTTACTATCAACTAAAAAAACCTGGCAGGCATTTACACAATGTTGAATCTATGACAGTCTGAGCTCTATATAATTCGTCATATCACCAAACTGGTTAAACATAAAATTTGCTGTCGCCAGTGGAGGAGTGGAACTAGGAAAGGAAACAGAGCACCACTTTAAGCTAAGCTGTAACAATAGCAATATAGGATTAAGTCCCAAAGTACTTCTAACTTCCATCAGATCCACTTCTTCCTGGCACAGCAAGTAAAATCTTCCGATGACCTTAGAAAATCACTCCATTTTGCTGGAATATTCATGCATTCACATTCACCAGCAAGGCCGAATCCTTCTTTCTTAAATCTTGTAATGTCCTGACAGTCCTATTTGTTTCGTTTCAAACAGAAAGGCAACTTTATAAAGCATTACACTTAGTTGTTAACCTAAAAACATTTCATCTTGTTCTGCGTAGTAGTGGCTAATGGTTCTCCACCCAACAGTAATTTCTCTCTCTACGTCTAAAAATACAGTAGACCCTCTTTCTGCCCCAGATCACATGGACCTGTGTCCAGGCAGAATTTAGTACAATCACCCTATCCAGAATGTTCTATTTCTCCTTAAATTAAGAGAGACATTTTAAGACCTCACTATCATGTAAAGCGCTGCATTGTAAGAACATTCATTACAAAATCCTACCAAATGATTCAACCTCATCAGTTGTGTCCAATGCTAAGAGACAGGAATTGCTAGAGCCAAGGAAGGTCCCAGAGGACTGGAAAATTGCTAACATGACATCCCTGTTTAAAAAGGGAGTAAGGTAAAGGACAGAAAATTTCGGGCCCATTCGCCCCACCTTGGTTGTGGGTAAGATTTTGGAGTCCATGGGTGAGCTTTCTAAATACTTTAAAACGTGTACGGTAAAATACGGCAAAGTCAGCATGGTTTCATCAAGGGGAGGTCATGCCTGATGAATCTGCTACAATTCTTTGAGGAAGTAATGAGCAGGTTAGACCAAGGAGAGCCAATGGATGTTATCTACCTGGACTTCAAGAAGGTCTTTGACAAGGTGCCGCACAGGAGGTTGCTGAGTAATACAAGGGCCCGTGGTGTTAGAGGCAAGGTGCTAGCATGGATAGAAGATTTGACAGTCTGGCAGAAAGCAAAGAATGGAGATAAAAGGGTCTTTCTCAGGATGGCAGCTGGTGACAAGTGGTGTTCCACAAGGGTCAGTGTTGGGGACACAAATTTTCACTTTATATATTAATGATCTAGATGAAGGAACTGAGGGCATTCTGGTTAAGTTTGCAGATGATACAAAGATAGGTGGAGGGACAGAAACTATTGAGGAAGTGGGGAAGCTGCAGAAGGATTTGGACAGGTTAGAAGAGTGGGTAAAGAAGTGGCAGATGGAGTACAACGTGGGAAAGTGTGAGGTCATGCACTTTGGTAAGAAGAATAAAAGCATGGACTATTTTCTAAATGGGGAAAAAATTCAGAAATCTGGTGCAAAGAGATTTGGGAGTTCCAGTCCAGGATTCTCTCAAGGTAAACTTGCAGGTTGAGTCAATAGTTAGGAAGGTAAATGCAATGTTGGCATTTATTTTGACAGGACTTGAATATAAAAGCAGGGATGTACTTCTGAGGCTCTGGTCAGGCCTCATTTGGAGTGATCTGCGCAGTTTTGGGCCCCATACCTCAGGAAGGATGTACTGGCCCTGGAGCGGGTTCAGACGAGGTTTACAAGAATGGTCTCAGGAATGAAAAGCTTAACACATAAGGAACGTTTGAGGACTCTGGGTCTATACTTGATGGAGTTTAGAAGGATGGGGGGGGATCTAATTGAAACTTACAGAATACTGAATGGCCTGGACAGAGTGGATGTTGGGAAGATGCTTCCATTGATAGGAGAGACCAGGACCCAAGGGCACAGCCTTAGAGTAAAGGGAAGACCTTTTAGAACGGAGATAAGGAGAAACTTCTTCAGCCAGAGAGTGGTGAATCTATGGAATTCACTGCCTCAGAAGGCCGAGGAGACCAGGTCATTGAGTATATTTAAGACAGAGATAGATAGGTTCTTGATTGTCAAGGGGATCAAGGGTTACAGAGAGAAAGCAGGAGAATGGGGTTGAGAAACTTATCAGCCGTGGTTGAATGGTGGATCAGACTTGATGGGCTGAATAGCTTAATTTATGCTTTTATGTCTGATGGTCTTACAACTGGGCACAGGTCTGTGTAATCTATTGTCTATGGTCACAAACATACTGGATGGTGTGGAAGTAAATAATTGCATACTTAGAAGGATGACAGGATGGTGGCATGACACATGCAGGTCAATATACATGCATAAGAACATGAGTTAGGAGCAAACGTAGGTCATTTGGCCCCTTAAGCCTGTTCTTCCATCTAACAAGTTGGTGGTTGATTTGATTACAACCTCAACTTTACATTCTTATTCTAGATAAAATTTTACACCATTTCTTACCAAGACTCTAATTCTGTCTTAAAAATATTAAAAAAAAATCTGTTTTCACCACCTTTTCAGGAAGAGACTTCCAAAGATTGACAAGCCCCTGTGAGAAAAAAGATTTCTCCTCATCTTTGTCATAAATGGGCGACCCATTTATTTTCAAACTGGAGTTCTTGTTCTAGATTATCCCTCAAGAAGAAATATCCTCTCGACATCCACCTTGCCAAGGCCTCTCAGGGTCGCACATGATTCAACCAAATCACCTCATACTCTTCTAAACTTCAGTGTATTGGAAGTCTAGCCTTTCCAACCTTTCCTCATAAGACAACACACCATTCCAGGTATTACAGTAATAAACCTTCTCTGAATTGCTTTCAGTGCATTTAAAGTCCTTCTTAAATAAAGATGTTGCAGTCTATGGCATACAGTCATTTTGTAGTGTGGGAAAATCCCTATGCTCTTTCTTCATGCTTCGCTCTACCTATTGTTAAAACATTGCAGGTGTTCCACTCAGAGCCTCTGTCCCTAATACAAAGGGGAACAGTAAACTACAAGATATTGCTGATGTCATAGCTTGGCAATAGTCTCTTTGCTGACATAAAGAAGCTGCTGCAAAGAGGAGAATTGATTTGATTTGATTTGATTTATTACTGTCATGTGTACCGAGGTACAGTGAAAAGTGTTGCCTTACATGCTTTACAGGCAGATTGTACAAACAATTGCATCAGGGTAACAGAACTGAGTGCAGGATACAGTTTTACAGCTGCTGAGAAAGTGCAGAGACAGATCAACATTAACATTTGAGAGGTCCATTGGAAAGTTTGATAACAGCCAGGAAGAAGCTGTTCTTGAATCTGTCTGTACATGTATTCAAACTTTTATATCTTCTGTCTAATAGAAGAGGGTGGGAGAGTATAACTGGGGTTGGAGAGGTCTTTGATTATGTTGGTTGCTTTCCCAATGCAGTGGGAAGTATTGATGAAATCAATGGATGGGAGGCTGAATTGCATGATGGACTGGGTTGTGTTCACGACTCTCTGTAGTTTCTTGCTGTCCTGAAGAATAGTTGCCCTACCACGCGGTCATGCAATTAGATGCTTTCTGTGGTGCACCTACAAAGATTTGTAAGACTATTATGGAAATGCCGAATTTCCTTAGCCTCCTGAGGAAGTAGAAGCATTGTTGAGTTTTCTTGACCTTAGAGTCCTGTGCCCACTGCCCTTCTTTTTCTTTGCCCAATTAATGCTGTTTGCTATGTTTTTCCCTAATCAATCTGTTCACAAATGTTATTACATATCCTCTGGAGTACGTGGGACTTAAACCTGGGTCTCCTAGCTCAGTGGTAGGGACACCATCACAACACCACTAGAGCCTAATGTTGTTTTGTCTTGCCTTCCTAGTGCAGACAGTAATCCTCCAGCATAAAAGCAAACTATCTATGACTGAGTAAAACCTACTAAGAAAAAAGAAAACAGATAATTTATCTGGCTATTTACCACTGTTCATTCGATGAACTTTAGAATGGAGGTCCTTATTCTCACTTACAGCTTTCTGCAACCCTCCCCCAAAGTTTTCCAAGATAACTACATGTCCCTCCAGGAACACTGCAGCAGAAGGTTTGTGCAATTAATTCCCACACACCAAATAGAACACATGCCCTTGGGATTTTTGACACTGCGGCTCAGATCAAAACCTGGCGCGTAATATTAGCCAACTGGAACCAACAAAACAGAAAAGAAGATCGGTTACAAGGATTATAAGAATGATTTCATTTATTCTGGTCCTAGCAACATGATGGAAAATGAATTAAAATAATCGTGTAGGTGTACAACATTGCATGGTATGGATTTTTACAATTTGTTTCTAATGGAGGAGATGGTAGCAATAACTTGATTTGTAATGCATGTTGTTGGACCACGGAGACAAACATAAGAAATAAATGAGGTTGTCCACAAATAATCTTATGTAAGAAGATATTAAATCATTAGAACAAGCCTAAGCTCAGTAGTCATGTACATGTTAAGATGCATAACATGAAAAAAATTTTTTGAATCTTTGTAATGGAGATCAAAGTAAACTGCTAGATCATGAAAGATCCTTTCGTTTACAGTGGGGCAACAGTCAATTCACACAAAGCAGGTGCGGGATAGCTAACACAGTTAGCTTTAGCAGCACATACACTAAAATTGGAACAATACAGCGAAGATTAGCATGGCCCCTGCATTAGGATGACACACAAATTCCTGCAGCGTTCATAAAACAAACAGTCATGCACTCAGACTATCAAAGCCGTGCTAAACCAGTTCAAAAGGATACAAGCAAGAGGTTGTGCTAAACTCGTAACATACATGTGCTGATCAAATTTCTTGGGGGCCCAACATTTAAAAACTAAGACCTTTGCAGAGATTCAGAAAAAACAGCAAGTTTCTCAGTTGCAAACACGAGCAAGGTTTTCACAACCAAACGCCTTAAAGATGCCAAAGATCAATATACTAAGCAATAATTCAGTTTCCCATCTTAGTTATGTATTTAACCTCGTTAAATCCAGTGGAAAGTTCAATTTTTCATGAATTAAGGACATAAACAAAGTTCGCTAGGAAAACACTGGGCAGTAATCCAGAGACGAATTTTGAAGCCTAGTTATACGTTAAGTACCATAGTCCTTTCTGGAGCATATCTACCGAGAAAAACCCTCAGCTCTTTGTTTCAAAGACTTCAAGCACACGATCCTAACATTGCCCTTTTGAAGCAAAGGCTTATTCTTTTTTGTTGATTGTGTGAAATCCTCTACTGCTTTAGGCATCTAGTTGCCCTTACATGTATTTTCAGAAGCCACAGCTCTCTTTAAAACATTCTGTTAACAAAGTGCAAGGCACTTCGACATTAGCGTGAGAATTATAAAAATATAAATAATTACATTGATTAAAATTACAAATTGATTACGACAAAATAAACAAACTTAACAGATTAATTACGATGCAAACAGTAAATTAGAATTTGAATACTTTCTGCCTTTCCCTGTTACTCTTTAGGTCCAGCAAGTTATACCAAAATTAAAAATAGAAAAGAAAATTTTAGAAACTGCTAAATGACATGATTCACTTAAGAAATTGCGTTCTTTGTTAAATTCATTAGCAAATAACCTAGAAAGATGCTTTGGCTTCTAGCAATTCAAATGCAAAATATAAAGGTCCGGGCTTGACTCAGTGATGTTGATGATTTCCTTGGATAGTGTATTTTGTACAAAGCATTTCTGCAGTTTTAACACATGGAACAGTGCAAGTGTACCGGTCAAACATTTTAACACTAAGGCAAACATAGGTGAATCAGAGTATTTATTCATTTCCCAACTATTGTCCCTCCTTGTTTCAATTATCTACATTAGGCTAAATATAAAGAGACTATCGTTGAAATATATCTGGTTTAAAATGAAACAGAAAGATGTTATTTTCTTATTGTTTTCCAGGACTTCACGCAATTCACAAAGAACTACAATAAAAACATACCCTGCTCCTTCAGTAAAGATGTGTACGAAAGTTCTCCTTGATTTCTTGCAGTGAAACATTTAAAGTTGAAATTAAGACAAATACTCCAAACACTGACCCCTTACATGAATGGAAGTTGGCAGTGAGCTGCAGAAACTGTAATATGCCGCCACAACCTGCTTTCTCATTCAAACACACATAATTACTATGTGTTTGAGCATGCTAAGAAATAAGGACTGGAATTTCTGGAATGGATGTTACTTTTTTTAAAAAACCCATGTTTTCTTTGTTCAACTGGTAACATTGCTTTGTGATGTGATTTCTTAAATATTTATTCCAGCTCCCCTTTGAAAAAGATTTCCTCTTATTTTTGAATTACTTGTGGCATCAAGGACAAAGAAAATGGATTAATTCCATCAGTTGTCAACATGTTTGCCTGCTCCTTTCAAACCAATATTTGTAGGCAAGGGGACACAGCCAATTCTACGTGTGTAGTTCTCCCTGCATCAACTACAACAATATGACAGACCACATGGACTAAATATCCATTTTTATGTTAACCTATTTTTAAATGCAGGTGAATATTGCTGTAAAAACAGCAGCAATATGAAAATCTCGGCCTATGTTCCAGAAACTGATATTGTAGCCCCGCTAATCAGAATCCAGAAGTTGATTAAGTCTTTTTCTGAGTATATAAAATGCAAGTGGACCAATGTTTCCATTTTACTGATTTGAACTAGAGAAGAAGTTATAGAGTGGTTAAAGAAGTGGAATCTAAAATAGGAAGAGAGCCATAAAAGTTAATACCCCAAAGCCGGAACAAAAGATTTAGTAAATATACAAACACTTTAATATGTGTACACAAGTGACCTGGAATAGTTTGACTTGCATTCCTACAGAAAAATACAGACAGCATGCTTGCATACTCTCTGATTGCTGAGTTGAGATAGGGAACATCACCAAAGAAATGACAGGCATGAACATCTATACTTTATGATCAGGGCTCAAGTGACAAATGGCACTGTTGTCCTGGGTCAAATAATTTTGGGAATTCTTGTTTACTGGCAATTAAAGGTGCAAATCTTTTGCCAGTTCTATTATGTATTAAGTAGTGTCGGTTAGCTTAGTTGGCTAGACAGCTGGTTTACAATGCAGAGTGACACCAATGTGGATTCAATTCCTGTAATGGCTGAGGTCACCTTGAAGGTCCCACCTTCTTGACTTTGTCCCTTGCCTGAGACATGGTGACCGTTAGATTAAACTCACCATTTTAATGAGAGAGTAACCCCACGGTTCTCTGGGACTATGGCAACCTTACCTTTATCAAATTAATCTTATATGCAACAGGATGCATTCAGGTTTTGTCCTATGTGACACACAGCTCCAAGAGAAATTAGTTTTTTGTTCCACAATGAAAGTTTCTTGCTGCATTGTTAAACATTTTGAATGAATGCCATGATTTCAGACTCACCTCTCTAGGTTCTAACTGACCATGGTTGGATAGTTCAAAGTCTTCTACATTCACTAATCAGCTTTCAACCCACCTTCAATTTCAAATGTTTCCACCAATAGGAGCAAACAAATGGAGCTTTTGTCATGGCTATTAGCACAACAATATGGTCTTTTTCTCCATTTACTCCAGAGTTCTTGAGAGTAAAAATCCTGTACCTTTATATTTTACATTTGAATTGCTAGAAGCCAAAGCATCTTCCTAGATTATTTGCTCTAAATTCACACCTTTACAAATTCAGAAAATATTTTAAACTATCAAATGGAGACAAGATTTACTTCACTTTGAAATTAGACATGTACTGGTGTTTTAAAATATATTTTCTAAAATAAATAATGGTTTGTTTATTTTGCCTTGACTTTTAATTATTGCCTTTTCTAATGCTGCTCATTACTTCTTATTCATGATGGTCAATCCTATGTTTTCATTGGTTGCTAAGAAATAAAAATAGCCTGTGCTGAAGTACATTGCAAGCATTCTCTCTTGCAACAGAGAATCCAACCTTCACTTAGTGCCAGAGATAGTAGAAATCTGAAGAAGGGTCTAGGCCCGAAACGTCAGCCTTCCTGCTCCTCTGATGCTGCTTGGCCTGCTGTGTTCACTTAGTGCCTCCTTTTTCTGTGTGAATTCAAATTCTATTACTTGGGGAACAAACAAGTTTTCTTTAAATCTGCTGTGTTTTTGATCATCTCTAGCCTGTCTTACTCCAGATTCTTGGCTCCTGCATTTTAGTCTGTGTTTATTGATCCCTCTCTCTTTGACAATATCATCACTTACAATAATCTTCCAGCAACATAGCCAGGATAATGAATATTGCTCTGCAAATTTACCTGGAATTTCTTGGATCAGCGCATTATATTGTGCATGCTATGAAGTTCCGCTCTTCAATCTTATCACAATAATAAGTCCAAAGGTTCCTGGATGAATGATTTAATTTAAGCGCTTCAATCTCAAAGATGAATCGAAACTCACGTGGTATACACTGGAGGCCTACTAAATAGTAATCCAAAAAGTCATAGAATCATACAGTTGAGAAAAGGCTCTTCAGCCGATCAAATCTGTTCCACCAAAATATACTACTACCAACAGCAGTCCCATTTCCCCTCACTTGGTCCATAGCCTTTAATGTTATGACACTCAGCCAGTATTTTTTTTCAAATTTGTGGGATTTTCTGCCCTCAACTACTGTCCCAGCCAGTGCATTCCAGATCCCCTATTTAATGAGGAAGGGTTGTATAATCTTACTCTTGTATTCCTTCCACTATAGATAAAGGATGAGCTAATTGAAGTGTTGTAAATGTGAAGAATTTGGCAAGGTAAATAGAAATTATTTGCTTAGGTGAAAGGCAGGATCCAAGTCAAAAGGGTGTATGCTGAAAAATAAAGTTAGGTAGTAAGGGTAGTTTCAGGTAGCACTTTTTCATGCAGAGTGCTGAATTTTATGTCAGGGCAAGTTTCCCCATTTTGAGACCTGGGGAAGCAGTCACTTTTGCTAGTTACTCATAGCATTTAGCAGCTGTCAGTTTGGCAGGCCTTCTGACAGAACAGGGGACCTAGATGAACAAGATAGGAGAACAGGACAAGCTTGAGGTGTTTCACTCAATAGACATACTAATAATTTGAGTCAACTGAATGAGATCCATTCCCAGCTGTGTTTCCTTCTATAGTCATCCTTCAAAATCTTGGATCCCAAAAAGGAGGCAATCTGATTTTATCTGGCCACCACACAAGGCATCGCCTGCTGGGCTGGATAGTGTGAGCCTCCCTTAATGTAAGTAAGATCCCAACAGTACTAGGAGAAGATGAGAACTTAAAGACTTTAATTTGCTTTAGGGGGAGTGGGCCATGAATAGCTCCCCAGCATTGGTAAAATTGCAGCAGAGATAGACAAGTGGTAGATATGTAGCCATTGCCTGGCACCCAATTTTATGCCAATCTGCCTTTGAGACCCCTAGAATTTTAGCCAAGGGGTAGTGAAAATCTGGAACCCTCACTCACTGCACCCATCAAGGCAGGTGAATGATATTATATATATAATGGACAAAACAAGATGCTTGGGCAATAAGAGTGCTCAGGTGGATGAGGACAGTAACAAATGTAGGTCTAGAGGGGAGAGAAGGTGAATGAAAGGCGATGGCTGTGAGATCAAGGGTAATGAGAGAGTTCCAAGATAACAAAAGTGAGAAGAATGGCTACAATAAGAGTATCATGGGTGCAGCAGGAGGCTAGAAGGTGGTGGCGCATGTTTCAAAGGTGATACAGACACTT